CTTTGGGTGTCACGAACTATTTGAAGCTGAGTGTACGTGACAGCATATACGGCCCTCGCCCACGGCGACTTTTTGTAGCAATACAGTCGCGATGAAGTCACGCTGCTGTATCGATTTAGTAGCGAACGCGCGACAAAAAGTAGCTGTGGGCGTGAGCCCATACATCTAAACAGTGTAGTAACTTATGTTATTGTTATAAGTGCTATATTGCGACAAAAATGTTAGCCTGATGTGCTGTCTTTTGTTCGTAATTTGTCTTTCTTATTTAATTAAACATATTTTAATGTAAAACACAGCGCAAAGTTTTTTGTGATATAATAACAAATGTAAATAATTGTCAACATTTAAAATAATAATACAGCAATATTAGCTATGAGGTAACGTATTCTAAGCTGAATATATGTTTTAAACTTAATTATAAAGTTATAGAACTAAAACAGTTAACAAGTAAAATATTTAAAAAATGTTATAGCATCTATATATATAAAAATGAAACCCGTTTCGCGTTGTCACGGCATCACGTGTGAACGGCTGAACCGATTTCGATAATTCTTTTTTTTAAATGTTTGTGGAAGTCCAAGGATGGTTATTACGGAAAAAAATATTAAGAAAATCTCTACGCTAAGGCGGTACGAAGTTCGCCGGGTCAGCTAGTAATAGAATAAATAATTAATAACAAATTGTTTATAGCCAAAATCAGATCGTATGATTTTTATTTCTTGATATGTTATTATCGATAGCAACCAAAATTATCTACCTAGTGATACAAACTAACTATACCAGTGTGTTGTTCTAAGATATATTCCGAGTTTAATAGAAGTCTCGCGAATTCTAAAAAAAATTACTTTAGAAAGCTAATATGGGACAGATGTCTAGACTTCTTACTGTGCCTACCTATACAGGATGTTAGGTTGCCAAAAATAAATAAATAGGAAACTTAGATCCGTCCTTAACATGCCAAGGTGTTTTGTTACACCATGAAATGAATAGAAGAAATATGACAGTCAAAATATTAATAGCGGAAGACTATTCTGCATACCAACGGATGTAATACTACTGTACAATACTTACTGAGGTAGATGTGGGTACGAGGCATTTGACTAGTTCTTCCACTATTCATAAACAAACTAACAAACTAAAGTCGCTGACATAGCCCGACGGATTAGCAAGCTGAAGTGGCAATGGGCAGGGCACATAGTACGCAGAACTGACGGCCGATGGGGCAGCAAGGTTCTGGAGTGGAGGTCACATACTGGCAAGCGCAGCGAATATAAGAATTTCTTAGAATTATTAACATTCAGTAATTTTATATTTTCTTGTATTATATTACTGAAAGAACTGTTCAAAATATAAATTTTGTCAAGAGTACGCGTGTACCGGTCATCCAAATAAATTTTTTAACACGGTTATTGTAAAATAATTATATTTTTACGATGGTGTACGAGTATAGTCAAATGCCCCGTCAAAAATAACACCACTTGAATCGTTATGAGCATTTTAAAATAATATTTATTTTGCGATTAAATCTCCCGTGTATGGTGGCCCTAACACTATACGTGCAACTTACATAGTTAAATTCGCCAAAAGGAAGGCCCAATTTTTTACACACTACTTACTATAGCTTCATGGAATCTTATGAATGAATCAGAGGAACTAAAATAGACTTTATTACCCATAGATAGTCACTTTTCAAAATGAGCGTGTTTGTGAAACATAACTTTTGTTTCTATAGATTTCTATTTAGTCCGTCAGACAGATATCAAAAAAAATTTGGGACACTTATTTTTAAAAATTTTTTCATAATCGAATAATTACAGTATTATATTGAGTTGAATGTCGCGTGACGTCACTTTTGAGTAAAAAATCTACTCAAGCGTGACGTAACGCGCCATTTCAACTCGATGTAGCACTGTTATTATTTAATTACTAGCTGACCCGGCGAACTTCGTACCGCCTTAGCGTAGAGATTTTCTTAATATTTTTTTCCGTAAGAACCATCCTTGGACTTCCACAAACATTTAAAAAAAAGAATTATCGAAATCGGTTCAGCCGTTCACACGTGATGCCGTGACAACGCGAAACGGGTTTCATTATATTGAGTTGAATGTCGCGTGACGTCACTTTTGAGTAAAAAATCTACTCAAGCGTGACGTAACGCGCCATTTCAACTCGATGTAGCACTGTTATTATTTAATTACTAGCTGACCCGGCGAACTTCGTACCGCCTTAGCGTAGAGATTTTCTTAATATTTTTTTCCGTAAGAACCATCCTTGGACTTCCACAAACATTAAAAAAAAAGAATTATCGAAATCGGTTCAGCCGTTCACACGTGATGCCGTGACAACGCGAAACGGGTTTCATTTTTATATATACAACGTGTCCCAAAATTCAAGGATAAGCCGACGCCACAGGATGGACATAGTCATGACTACTTTAGGAAAAATAAGGAAAAAAATCTATCTCAATTATTTTTTAACTTACACAATAAATTATGAAATTCGACGAAAATTGACACCCCTTATGATATTTTACATTACCACGACCACAACTTTTCAAATATGCCTGTTTTTCTGTTTATATCGGCAACTTAAGTAGTGCTGCTGTCCACCTCAACTCTTAAAACCCCCAGAATCCTTGCAGTTTTTACACAAAAGTTAATCAAAATATGTTATTTCCTTAAAATTTTCAACGATTTTTACTTTCCTCCACTTTGACTCATCGTTTTGTAAAAAAAAAGTATAAATACTACTGCGGCAAGTTGTTTATAAAGTTGACGCAACTATCCAAGATTCCAAAATAGTATAATACTCTAAGAAACCTAGTCGCAAAAAAGATATGCGTACCATTTTTACAAGCACTTCGCTTGTTAGTTAGTATGGGATAAATCTTGCAACTGAATTTAAAACCAGTTCTCCTTAACCAATTGAGCTGAAATTTGGTATACTTCTGTAAGTACGATGTCAATGCAATATTATGGTACCATTGAGCTGGATGGAGTCTGGTAGTGGCCATAGGAACTCTTAACGAAACGGCGGAATTGCATCTAGTTTGGGTTCGTTGGACTTGTCTTTTTCGAGCAATTTAGTGCTAGATGATGTCCAGGGTCCTGATGATGAAGTCAAGAGGTGGCAGGAGCTGGCCATAGGAACTCCTAAACGAAACGGCGGAAGCTTATCAAATTTGGGTTCGTTGGATTTGTCTTCCCGAGCACTTGGGCCATGAGATTGAGAAACAACTAAAAAGTTTAAAATAAAGTTGTAATAAAAAAAAACTTTTTTAAAAACAAGCTTGACTTCGTTTGAAAATTATAATTGACTTCATCATCAGGACCCTGGACATCATCTAGCACTAAAGTGCTCGAAAAGACAAATCCAACGAACCCAAACTAGATGCAATTCCGCCGTTTCGTTTAGAAGTTCCTATGGCCACCTCCAGTCTCCATTCAGCTCAATGGTACCCTAATATTGCATTTTCAACGTACTTACATAAGTATACCAAATTTCAGCCCAATCGGTTGAGGAGAACTGGTTTTAAATTCAGTTGTAAGATTTATCCCATACTAACTAACAAGCGAAGTGCTTGTAAAAATGGTACGCATATCTTTTTTGCGACTAGGTTTCTTAGAGTATTATACCATTTTGGAATCTTGGATAGTTGCGTCAACTTTATAAAAAACTTGCCGCAGTAGTGTTCATACTTTTTTTTTACAAAACGATGAGTCAAAGTGGAGTGAAAGTAAAAATCGATCAAAATTTTAAGGAAATAACATATTTTGATTAACTTTTGTGTAAAAACTGCATGGATTCTGGGGGTTTTAAGAGTTGGGGTGGACAGCAGCACTACTTAAGTTGCCGATACAAACAAAAAAACAGAAATATTTGAAAAATGGTGGTCGTGGTAATGTAAAATATCATAAGGGGTGTCAATTTTCGAAGAATTTCGTAATTTATTGTGTAACTTTAAAAATAATTGAGATAGATTTTTTTCCTTATTTTTCCTAAAGTAGTCATGACTATGTCCATCCTGCGGCGCCGGCTTATCCTTGAATTTTGGGACACGTTGTATATAGATGAAAGAAAATAAAAAACATGAGTCTAATATTTATTATCTGTCTGACGGACAAATAATTGAAATTTTGTCATCTAGCCTATTGGCGCCACTGTAGTGATGTCATTGTCAATAGCCAGTGGTGCCAACTGTTAAGTATAAAAGCGATAGCTCTCATTGCATTTAAATTGTTGTAATCATAACTTATTATGACATATCTCTTCTCTCTTTCCTATCTTCACGACAACCTATATTTATGAATAAAAATATTATAATGCAAATAAGCATTATAAATAATAATGACTATAATAATGGGGACTTCTGCTCAGATTAAGAAGGATTCCTATTGATATATCTGGTATCGGTATCAGTATCAAAATAAATGACTACCAACTTAAAATAATCTCTACTTATTTTGGTAATGAATAATAAATTAACAAGAATGCAATTAGATAAATAAATAATATTCCGAACTGATACCGATACCCATTAAATAACGTTACCGTGAGAACCGGTACCAAAATTATCTTTGCAATCTTATCTACAAGAGTATATTGATGAGAAAAAAAAAACAATAATGTTTTATGCATTGAGATACTCGCGTATTTTCAAACTTTCGCTTAAATAGTATACGAATTTTGAGAATTCGTACACGCCATCAAAGTAATAAACATATTAGCAACTATTTCTCAACAGTGCCACCAAAACTTCAGTAACCTTCTCGTATACTAATCTTCCCCTATTCCTTCATCTGCTTTGATTCTTAGGCCCAACACATATGAGAAGCATAAACTTGGTATCGGTATCGAAATAACGGTACCGTTAAAACGATAAATAACGCTACCGGTAAAATGATAAATAACGCTACCGGTAAAATGATAAATAACGGCACTGTTAAAACGATAAAGCGGTCCGCTAAAGCGACTAATAACGATACCGTTAAAATAATAAATAACGTTACCGTTACAATAAAAATAACGTTACGTGCGCCAGATCAGGTAGTAGGGCAGGAAGCATCCGAGCAGGGGGTACGGCAAATCTTATGGGGAGCCTTCGTCGTCGACTTCTTTGATCACCGTGTCCGCTTCCCAGCGGGCCCGCTCCGCTAGTAAGGCTTGGAGTTTCTGCGAAAGCAAAGGAATATGTGAAAAAATACATTACCTACGTATTATAATCCTGTATAGCCTGGAAGGGGGGCTTTTTGTATGGATTCCACATCGGAACTAAACAAAAACTTGTTACAATTTTTTGTATTTGTGACAATAGCGCAACGTCTTCGGTGTGGACCTTCGATTTGAGGGTAGTTAGTTTAACCCCCTTCGACGGCTAACATCATCATTAGGTCTTCATTGCAGGAGTACCATCTCTCTAATTTACCAGAGACAAATGAAGTGTTTAGCCTATACTTCCCACGCTGGGCAGAAAGGTTAAGGAGGCCTGTTCGTTCGTTCGTTCGTTTCAGCCGAAAGACGTCCACTGTTAGACAAAGGCCTCCCCCAAGGATTTCCACAAAGACCGGTCCTGCGCCGCTTGCATCCAGGTACTTCCCGCGACCTTCACCAGATCGTCGGTCCACCTAGTGGGAGGCCTGCCCACGCTACGTCTTCCAGCTCGTGGTCGCCACTCAAGAACTTTCCTGCCCCAGCGGCCATCAGCTCTTCGAGCGGAGTAAGGAGGCCTGATGTTCGCAATTTGTTCCTTAGTCGTCTACAAGACCGCTAGCAAATATATTTGGCTTTACTGAAGGGGTCAACGGGAATATTAGTAATAAAAAATGTGTTCTTACCTCTTTTTTGTCGAGCACTATGATTCTGTTCTCAATTTTGGGCGCGAGCTCACACGACTGCTGTTCCAAATCGTCTAACGATGCACGTCGCGTTAACCTGGCGAAAGAAAGACATTAGAATAGGGGAAAAAACATTTAATACTAAAGCTTGGTCTGTGAGCACGTAGAATTTTGCGCTGTGCGACGGGCGCCCGCAGTGAGTGTGCGAGCGCGACAGCAACATAATTACGCGCGAGCGATAAGGATGGGTAGCTTGGGGTCTTTGGACAAAATTCTACGTGCTGACAGACCAGACTATAGCTCCTCTCCACGGCTTTGCCTGCGTGGAACATAATTTATTTAAGTCTCGTTCTTGTCCTGGTATTGTTAAGCACAATAGTTACGGCCACCGTTTGCTTCTTAAAGCTTTTTATTTTATTGGTTAATGGTATCACATATTATACCCATGACCCAATCATGACAAGTGACTATAGCAGGGCCTCCCAAACTGTGCGTCACGACTCCCTATGACATCACGGCACTATCCCAAGGGCGTCATGAGGCGATCGAAAATAAATGTAGAGGAAAGGATAAATAAATAAATATAAATATCCTTGGACATTTACACTGCGCTTCTAGTCCCAAACTAAGCAAAGCTTGTGCTATGGGTACTAGACAACGGATATAAACGGATGAAAGGTAATTTTCAAACATGCGCCCCCTTTTTGAGAAACTATGCTCAGAAAAATAAGCGCATTTTTATCATTAGTAACAGTAATACAAATGAAGAAATGCTAACCTATGATGATGCGTGTTGTGCGAGGTGGGTTCCACAGCGACCGACGACGCCCGTCTTAGAGGCGGGGGTCCATCCAACTCGCTGCCGTCTAGCATCTTGACTAGACTGTGCCTGAAAATAAAGCATTAATAATATAATAGGCTAGTTTCCTAAAAAAATTTTTTTAGTCCGTTAATTTTAATATAAAAAAATAACAGACGGACTAATTAAAACTCTTGCTTTTTTACCCAGGAAACATCCCTATTGTTTATTATTATTATTGTATTTTTAGGCTGGAAGCACTTGGATTCGGGCTGCGCAGGACCGGTCGTTGTTGAAGTCCTTAGGGGATGCTTTTATTGCCAGCAGTGGAACGAAGTTAAAAAGGGGCCCCTTAAACCTTAATTGCCTAGGTGGCTCTAGTAGTAGTAGCCTTGAATAGGACTAAGGTTAGTCACATCTATATCACCTGTCATTCATTTTGCACTGGAGGGAGTCCTCAACTTCAAACTCCTATAGTCTTTTGATAGTCTCCTATGACAGTGTAATTTTCCCATGGGAAGCTGTAGGTCCTGGGAGTGATAGTAAGCGTCACTGTCCATTGTATGCAGGCGTACTCCAAACGTACAATGACGCATAAATGCGTCAGGCCACCGTGGATAGTGAAGCTAACTAGAGACAGAGTAAATACAAATGAGTAGGTCATCTTCATAGAAACGCACCGAGCGCGGTTTGTATGTGAACGCGCCAACACGTATGCGGCGCGCACGCACACACTGACAAAATTTAGCGGGGATTAGCGGTTGGGGGGTGTTGCGCCGAATTTTGTCAGTGTGTGCATGCGTGCCGCATACGTATTGGCGCGCGCTCACATACAAACCGCGCTCGGTGCGTTTNCACCGAGCGCGGTTTGTATGTGAACGCGCCAACACGTATGCGGCGCGCACGCACACACTGACAAAATTTAGCGGGGATTAGCGGTTGGGGGGTGTTGCGCCGAATTTTGTCAGTGTGTGCATGCGTGCCGCATACGTATTGGCGCGCGCTCACATACAAACCGCGCTCGGTGCGTTTCTATGAAGATGACCTACTCATTTGTATTTACTCTGTTAGAGATGAGAATAGTCCCGTAGTTTCTACAAAACTAAAAACCAAGTCTGAGGTACCTTCTGGAGAGGGTGACGAGCGACTGCCTGTGTTTGGAGGGGCGTGCCTTTCCAGTCCGAACGTTGATGGCTGCGAAGTGGTTCTGGATCGCCATGCCTATTTCAGGGCACATGTCTTCTGACACCTGTAACAAGGAACTATAGTTAATAATGAAGGTGACGGACCGTTACTTACGTCAGGCAATGTATAGGCGACATTTCGCGAACGAGACAGAGAAAGGACATAGAAGTCTTAGTCAAGTAACGGTCGCGGTCTCCTGTCTTTACATAATAGCTTAACACGGTGTGAGTTCCTAGCGTGCAGTTGTATTAACTTTCCAGCACATGTTAGAATCAAAAGCACAGGATTGACTCACTAACACAGCTGTGACATACCAGAGAGGAAGCACAGTGAAGCCGTCGTTTCAGCTGTAAAAGTAACACAAGCAAACAACAAGCAGATATTGCTTGACGTTCAAGGGCACAGGTGTGACTTTACAGCAAAAATTTTGGCTCACCAGCACAAGTGTGACTACTAGCACAGCTGTAATTTACCAGCACAGGACACTTGGACGAAAACCTGTCGTTCCGCTGTGCATGTATTGCTTGTTAGCCAGGCGGAACTCTTGTTGTGACGGAGGGCACAGGTGTGACTATTCGCACAGGTTTGACTCACTCGTACATGAGTGTCTCATTAGCACAATTGTGACTCTACAGCACAGGTGTAACTCACCAGCACAGGACACTTTTTCAGCATGGCAAACCCGTCGTTTCCGCTGTGCAGGTACTGTTTGATGGCCAGGCGGTATTCTTGCTCCTTTTGCAAGTACTCGTCGCCAATCTTCACCACTTGTTCGGCTACCCTCTCGCCTGCTGGTTTAGTAGGATCGAACGCGAACGATATGCCTGCCACCTGTAAATATAACACACTCAATTATATTCTTGATAAGACTTTCTTTATTAACTAAAGTGTATAATATATGACCGGAAATTGTGTCCGGCATTCTATACAACATCTCGGCATTCTATGCAACATTCAGAGGTGGAATTGAGTAAATATGGTATTGTATACAATACCTAGACAGTTCATAATGTACGATAAAGTCAGTTAAACAAAGCGTTTGACAGAATAATCGTACGTTATGAACTGTCAAATGATTACGATGGCTTTACACAATTCCACCTCAGGTATTGTACGAAATAATTATTTTTTTCTTTCTTTCTTTCAAATATCATTCATTTTATACTTTGCCTAGGTGTGTAAAAGACGATAGCAGGGAAAGAGGAGATGTAAATAATATTATGTACTGATGTAGTGTGTGAGGTGCTAAGGCCTCTGATCAGGACATAAGCTTGAGGTTTTATTTATGTTCGTCTGAAGTGTTGGGTCGTGCTAAACCTCAGAGCAGAAACTAAGATGCTTGTGATAAAAATGACACTAAAAATGATCGGATAGTTGCATCTTTGGTGATAGCCACTGATCCACAGGCACTTTTCAACCCCTTTTAATGGACTGACCTGTGGAAACCTCCCTTCCAAGCTGGGGTACTTGCTGACGGCATTCTCTAACACCTGCAGGATCACAGCGCCCGAGGCCTTCACCACTACTATGGGGTCTCGCATGGGGATGATGGTGGACAGATCGCGCAGAGTGAAGTCACCTGCTGCGTGGACCTGAGATGACAAAAATTACACTTAATAAGAATGACGAACGTATTCACAAACATTACTATGAGGTCTCATAGTGCGCGGCCGCACAGGGTGACACACACAATCACAGAGCTCTATTCAACGCTGTGCGTTCGATTTGCAGCTTCACTTAAGCAAGCAACGTTTGTGAATACGGGCGTGAGTTACTATTTAAAATCAAAAGGTTTTTTTTTGTAAATGATATGAACGATTTCTGTGGTTAAACTTGAATAACATCAAATGTAAGTAGATTTTTGCATCACTAAAAATTATCTTCTTTCCCAGTCCGACCCGAACAGCCCGGAATCTAGACGCCATTATATTCTGAATGTCAGTGCAAGACGTGTAGTTCTTACCACCACTAATAGATGGCGCTATCTGTAAATTAGATCGCGGTAAGCTGTTGACTCTGTATTTTTATGTGACAGCAAAATAAACGTTTCAATTCTATTCTAGTGCCTGGATGCGGGCCAAGTAGGACTGGTCTTTGTGGCAATCCTTAGGGGAGGCCTTTGTCAAGCAGAGGACGTCATTCGGCTGAAATGAAAGAATTCTATTCTAAGCTCATTATTTTTTGCCAACCTGATCAGATCTGAAAGTGCCAGAGTTCAGCAGAACCACGTCAGCATTTGTCGCAGCCAGCAACACGTCGCACACCCAGTTGCCAAGGTTGCACTCTTGACGGCGGATGCACGAGAACCTTCCTTCTAAAGGCACGCAGAACTTGCCTAGAACCTCGTCCATCTTGCCTTCGATCATGGCTGAGGATAGAAGAAATAAATGTTTGTTATATGAATGTAATAGAATAACCTCTTTAATGTAATTCGATATTAAATATTTTCACGAACTGACATTTTAGAGCATAATAATATAAATAATTAATTAATATTTTTTTCAGTCCGAGACTATGAACCAGGCAAGTGACCCGTAGTCTCCATCCATAGCCCTGTAACCAGTCCATCCATCCTTCATCCATAACCCTAGTCCATTCTCCAATAACTGCAATAGCTCCTGTGCACAAGCTGGGGATGGTCTCTGGCTACATCCCATGATATTATAGTCGGAGACTAGATCCAGCTTGTGCACCACTTTCACTTTTGTCGATTATTTTGCGCTTAAAACGGCCTCTACGTGTTGGATCTGTATCCCCACGCAAGCCTTATAAAGGACCGGGCCACTTTTGACCCGTGAGCTCCAAAGCGTATAAATAATTATAAACATTGATTAAATGATTTGCATGCTATTTTTTCCCGACTGTGCCAGAAGGAGGGTTATGTTTTTCGAGTGTATGTATGTATACTTCTTTGGCACGGCCTACAGCCTAATAAAAACCATGTATTCATTAGGCAACATTTGTTCATAAACTGTTTATGACTAGTGTGAAACAAGTTTACCATAAACACAGGTTTCTGAAACTTGGCCGTCCGTCCACACTTGTCAGTTGTTGATAGGATGTCGTCCGAGGAGGTAGTGATGCTCACTGCTGCTTACATAATAAAAAAAAAAAACAAAATAAGGTGGTGGATTCGAAACTAACTGTTGAATAGAAGTTATGTATTAAATGACCTCCGCGGATCTAATGGGTCATTTCAGAACTTCACCAGAATGTCACCAACTGATTTTGAAATGTTATTAAGATTGATTGGACCATCAATAAAAAAAAAAGAAACGAATTTTCGTCATCCTATTGAGCGTCAGAGAAGTCTACTTGTTACTTTAAGGTTTCTTGCAACAGGTGACTCATATGGCTCACTGTTAATATACCTTTAAAATATCGAAACAATTGATCAGCAAGATTATACCACAAGTTTGTAAGGAATTGACAATTGTTTTAAAGGACTATGTAAAGGTGAGTAAAAAAAAGTGTAAACACAAATCAGTATGATTATCAAATATCTAAATCAAATCACATCATTCACTTTGTTGTGTGATTTTCTAACTGGGTAACTATCTCTTCAATGTTGCTAAAGTACCTATGTATAATGGTTCGAAGACATTAAACACATTTTTTACTTTATTTATTCATTTATTTTATTTAATTTTAAGTGCAACGCGTTACCAGTTGCAGTGTGGAGTCCTATTTTCGGTTCAGGTGTAAGCGTTGGGGTTATGGGGTAGATGCCTCACCATACGTAGATGTCGATGATGTGGTGCGGTCGCCGCCATGCTTTTGCCATCCATAGCCATGACATCCACCGAAACAATTACTATCGAAATTGCCCATTCTCGCTTGAAGCAGTATATTATTTATATAATATTTAGCCTGTAATACTGTTCTTTGATTTTTTACATTTTTTAATTCAGATGCCACATAGTGGCCATAAATTTCAAATTCGTCTTTTGATTCCTCCATCTTCTTTTTGTCACTTCTCATAATTTCATACGCTTCATTTAGACTGTTGTCACATTTTCTCTTCTTTGACTGTGTAAGCGGCGGTGGCGGTGGCGGTGATGTTGGCGCTGGCAGTTGTGATGTTGTGGGTGGCGGCGGCACAGACAGCGGTGAATTCGATGGTTCCATTGAGCCACTCCCATCCTGTAATTATTATTATTGTTTCTTACTTTTTTTTTATCCACAACGAGGAAGCTCTTGGCCTGTATCTTACCTGATGGTAAGTGACGATCAGGCCTAAGGTGGAAGCGAGCTTCACCTGGAATCCTCAACCACGGAGGAACTGGCTATCTCACCTCTAACTGTCGGAACACAATAATGCTGTTAACATTGTTGTTATGGCGACAGACTTAGGTAAGATGGTGGTAGCTAGCCAGGCGGACTTAGAACAAGCCCTACCACCAACCAAACCGAACAGAAAAATCTGCCCCCACTGGGATTACTGGGAATCGAACCCGTGACCTCTGCGTCTGAAGCAGGTGGTCTTACCACAGAGGCGGTTTCATTTATTACAGGTCCCAAATACTGAACAAGAATGAAAAAATAAAGCCCGCCAGTTCGAATTATTATGGAATTTCCTCATTGCATTGGATCCATTGATGGAAAACATATTGTTATTAGAGCACCGTGTAGCTCTGGCAGTGACTTTTCAACTGTAAAGAACAATTCAGTATTGTACTACTGGCAATAGTCGAAGCAGATTACAATTTTATATTTATGCGAACTGAGTGTGGTGCTAAAGGCAGATCTTCCGACAGTGGAGTATTTCAGGAAACTCCATTTTACGACGCATTGACTCAAAATAATTTAAATATTCCACAACCACAATTATTATACTGCGTTAGCTTTTAGAAAAACTTGACAGTTTTTAAGACTTTTTGTATGGATTTGACAGCACACGTTTCACGAAAAAACGAATCACATTCGGTTCAATCACAGATATGGATTAGAGTAGATACAGCAAGTTGATCGTCAAAGCGTGCCATTCCGATATGTCCAAATGGACATACATGGTCGAGTGATGTTCATGTAATCCGAATTCAACAATCGGTTACGATGATTTTACGAGGACAGTAGTACGAACACGGTAGAAAGAAGAAATTATTTACGGATTGAGAATTGTAATTAACAGCACAAGTAACAAATAATAAATTAGAATAAAGTAGCAGTAGAAGAAGTATAAAGTAGCATTGTTTTTAATACGTCATATCCTACGATGTACTCTTGAGATAAAACTATGGTCCCTGTATGTGGTGCGCTCATTATACCGATCCCAAGGAACCGTACTTACTCATAACAATAAGACACACACTGATCCATGTATTCATGCACTTGACAAATTTTTGTCTTGAAACGCTGGTAGGATAAAAAAATAACGAGATTTGACGATTTGTAAGAATTAATTTATTTAAAAAGGTAAATAAAGATGTTTTTGGTTTTGTATTTAACAAATTATCAGTTTTATCGGAATTAATTAATTGTCGAATCGAGTCAAACGATATCTTTCGATGACTTTGCGAATGCAGTACGATGATACGATTATTTTTACGTTGCGGCAATCACTAAAATTCGCTAAAATGACACTAATGACGTTTAAAAAGTGGCACGTTCGGCTTCATACAAATTTTTTCACATGCTGCATCTATCCATATCTGTGGGTTCAATACTCGATTCGCTAGAAAATAAATGAAAATGAGACAGTGCCACCGTTTGGAACTAAAAAACCCGCGATCCTCAACGCCTGTGACAGCCATATCGAAGGTCTTGTCGAACCTCGCTTCGAATATCTTATGTATGCTTCGAATTCGCTTATACAATTTTTCCATTTTTGCGATCACGAAGTTATTATTCTAAGTTTTTATTGTCAAATGATAGCAGTCAAAATTTCATAGTTCGAATTTTTGCGAATCGAGATTCGAACCGAATGTGCCGCGTTTCTACGTGATCGCAGAAATCGCAGTATAGATTCAATCGAAGGGAAGCGTCTATAACTTTATCAAACTATATTTAAAACTAATATTTAAAACTAATAAAATAAAACTATAAAACTAATATTATAAATGCGAAAGTAACTCTGTCTGTCTGTCTGTCTGTTACGCTTTCCCGCTTAAACCTCGCAACCGATTTTGATGAAATTTGGCATAGAGATAGTTTGAGTCCCGGGAAAGAACATAGGATAGTTTTTATCCCGGTTTTTGAAACAGGACGCGCGCGATAAAGTTTTTCTGTGACAGACAAAATTCCACGCGGGCGAAGCCGCGGGCGGAAAGCTAGTTTAAAATATTTATTATTTATTATCTATATATATAAAAGAAAGTCGTGTTAGTTACTCCACTTATAACTCAAGAACGGCTGAACCGATTTAGCTGAAAATTGTCAGGGAGGTAGTTTAGAGCCAGGAGAAGGACATAGGATACTTTTTATCCCGTTCGAAATTAAAAAAAAAGTCTGCTTATTTATTGCCATTAAGGCGGAACAAAGTTCGCCGGGTCAGCTAGTTATTGATAAACATTTTGTATTTGCGTAAAATAAGACACATTAATTGCGTTTAATCACTAACTAATTGCGTTTAATCGCGGTTGGGGGAGGGGACGCGCATTCCACAGACCGGCAAACTTAGCGCGAACGGGTAGTAACAGATAATATAAAAATTACTCACTGTTCCCATTGTATCTGATGTTCCAGACGTTGTTGCACCACACAATAAAAATTGCAGCGGTTCAAACCACTGCCATTTGCTTTTCATCACTTCCGAACCGCTTCCAGTCCTTTTTGATGTTTTATTTTTTTTCTTTTCACGACTAAATTGTGAGCGTAGAATATGCATCTTCGTTTCCACTTCTTTTTGCGACATATGCAATTCTGCAGCAATGTCGGTCCAAGCATCATTTTTTTTTAATTTATCTTTATAGTCTTTATTTGAGGCGTCCCAAAGAACACTACGTTGGTGATAAAGCTCTATGAGCATCGAAATTTGGTTGTTGGACCACGCTACCTCCATGTTTATAAACTCGCGCAACACACGTCTCCACGTGTTGACTTCTGTTTATAAACTAGATGTTTCGTCTTGCTCTCTACTCATAGCGGTGAGCACGGCAACACGTATCATAAACAATGTTTCGTCACCTATGTTTATGAACTGTTTATAAACTGTTTGCAGAGATGATGATGACAGTTTATAAACAGTGTTTATCAACAACTGAACACATGGCTTAAATGGCTTTACCGATTTTAGCGTGAGAGGTGTTAGATTTGTCTTAATCGTGAGAGTGACACTGGCTATATTAACATTGAAAAAAATCAAAACGACGGATTTTAGGCGCCAAAATGTCTTGAAAACATTTTTTTTTCTCAAAACCTATCGAGTGGGGTATCAAAAAGGGCTTTTAAGGTAGCTTACAAATATGTATTTAGGGTTTAGGTATTTAACTAAAAAGCAGGGATGTTATGGATATCCGTAACCGTAACCGAAACTTTCGGATATCCGAAACCGTAACCGTAACCGATTCAAAAGTTTTGGATAGTTTCGGATCGGATGTAGGCAGTTTAAATTGTTTTTTGTATAGCATTATAATGCAAAGGCATAACAGCCTGATTTACCTTTATAATGGCATTATAGAGTCTGGTCCGTGAGCACGTAGAATTTTGTCCAATAACCCCAAGCTACCCATCCTTATCGCTCGCGCGTAATTATATTGTTGTCGCGACTGTGCGACGGGCGCCCGCAGTGAGTGTGCGAGCGCGATAGCAACATAATTACGCGCGAGCGATAAGGAGGGGTATTTTAGGGTCATTGGACGAAATTCTACGTGCTCGTCGACCGGACTTTAGATTGGGTGGTTGGTTTGTAGATGGTAGTGTTATAGGACCCTACCCGAGTACTTCTCGACCTTGCCCTTGAGCACGGGGTCTTCGGGCACGGCACTGGTGACCTGCACTCGCCTGGGACCTTATGCAGCTGTGATAGGGGCGAGTTTGCAACACACCTGAGTACTTCTCGACGTTGACTTAACTCTACAATGACACCAAGCTATCGCTCGCAAACACATTGCAGCCGCCCGTCGCACATTCGCGACAGCAATATAATTACGCGCGAGCGATAAGGATGGGTAGCTTGGGGTCATTGGACAAAATTCTACGTGCTCGTCGACCGGACTTTAGATTACCCGTGTTATAGGATCCTACCTGAGTACTTCTCGACCTTGGCCTTGAGCGCGGCGTCTTCGGGCACGGCGCTGGTGACCTGCGCCTCGGCGATGTCCGCGTGCGGCCCCTCAGGCCCGAACGTGATGGTGATTTTCGAGAACTGACGGAAGTCTGTACCATTCTTCACGAGAGATATAATCCTATTCAATACTGCCAGGATGGAGCAATAAAGAATTTGAATTTGATGGAATTCTCTTGGTGGATTTTAACCACCGCGTAAAATCTCCGCTCCGCTACAAAAACAAATGACTAGTCGCGCACCTGTGACCTAGAATTACGTATGGAAAAGCAGTCCGCAATTCCGCTACACACTTTTTCCGCTCCGCTACCTATCTCCAAGTCTATGGTCAGACAGTGAGCAATTCAGTTCCATATGACTGTCTCGTTCTGTTACCTAGCTTTGTTGCATTGCTTCATACGGTTTCTTTAGACTAGGCACTCTAATTTCGAGGTTGGTACGAGTATAACCATGGTCGATGGGTGTTCTGATGGTAGTGGTGTATGTCCTCACCAGAGTAAGCAAGGCAAGCGCAAGGTCGTGGGTTCAATTCCCGCCTTAGGCAGTTCGATTTTTTCAAGCTTTTTATAATTCTCACCTGAGTACTTCTCGACCTTGGCCTTGAGCGCGGCGTCTTCGGGCACGGCGCTGGTGACGTGCGCCTCGGCGATGTCCGCGTGCGGCCCCTCAGGCCCGAACGTGATGGTGATCTTGGAGAACTGACGGAAGTCTGTACCATTTTTCACGAGATATATCCTATGCAATACTGCCAGGAAGATGGAATTCCATAAAATCTCCGCTCCGCTTCAAAAACAAATGACTAGTCGGGTGTTTATGATCTAGAACCGCCTATAGAAAAACAGTCCGCAATTCCGCTACACACTTTCTCCGCTCCGCAATATAGCTGTGTCTATGGACCAACACTGCTGGCAACTCCACTCCGCTACCTAGGTCTCGCTACTGCTACAGTAGAATCTCGATTATCCGGACTTCGATTATCCGGACTCATTCTTCACGGATTCTAATTACCGATTCAGGATCTGGACCCATAAAAACCGAAGGCGCCGTCACCGTAATATGGTACGGACGTCTTATTAGTTCATTGTTAAAAGAAATGGATGACTAATGGTCTAAAATTTAGATTTTTAGACTCTAGAATGATGTATTGAAAACCCTTTCTATTGTAAAAAGTTAATTATTGTTTGATTTTACTTTGAAATCGATTATTCGGATTTTCGATTATCCGGAACATCCCTGGTTTTAATTGATCCGGATAATCGGGATTCTACTGTACCTTGCTTCGTTCCACTGCCTCATTCGGTTCCTTTACACAGGCACGCCGTCAGAGCGTCTGTGCGACGGGCGCCCGCAGTGAGTGTGCGAGCGCGACAGCAACATAATTACGCGCGAGCGATAAGGCTGGGTAGCTTGGGGTCATTGGACAACATTCTACGTGCTCGTCGACCGGACTTTAGATTACCAGTGTTCCGGACTTTAGATTGGTATGACATGGGTGGTTGGTTTGTAGATGGTAGTGTTCTTTGTCCCTACCTGAGTACTTCTCGACCTTGGCCTTGAGCGCGGCGTCTTCGGGCACGGCGCTGGTGACCTGCGCCTCGGCGATGTCCGCGCGCGGCCCCTCAGGCCCGAACGTGATGGTGATTTTCGAGAACTGACGGAAGTCTGTATCATTCTTCACGACAGATATGTTCGTGTCTAGGCAAGTCGAAATCAATTGCGGAATTTTATCTCCGCATAAAATCTCCGCTCCGCTCTGCATACTACCACCGCTCCGCTACCTAGCTCCCCGTCTATAGACAGACACAGTCCACGGTTCGACTCTGCATGCTTTCTCCGCTCCGCTACCTGACATCACGTCTATGGACAGACACAGTTGGCAACTCCGCTCCGCATCCTTTCACCGCTTCTCTATCTAGCCCCAAGTCTATAGACAGAGGGCGCGACTCCGTTCCGCATAACTGTTTCAGTCCGCTCCAATCTGCTGCCTTGCTTCGATTTGTTTCGATTGGTATGAGCGACCATGGGTGGTTGGTTTGTAGATGGTAGTCTGGTCTGCGAGCACGTAGAATTTTGTCCAATGACCCCAAGCTACCCATCCTTATCGCTCGCGCTTAATTATGTTGCTGTCGCGCTCGCACACTCACTGCGGGCGCCCGTCGCACATTCGCGACAGCAATATAATTACGCGCGAGCGATAAGGATGGGTATTTTAGGGTCATTGGACGAAATTCTACGTGCTCGTCGACCGGACATGGGTAGCTTGGGGTCATTGGACAAAATTCTACGTGCTCGCAGACCGGACTTTAGATTGGTATGACATGGGTGGTTGGTTTGTAGATGGTAGTGTTCTTTGTCCCTACCTGAGTACTTCTCGACCTTGGCCTTGAGCGCGGCGTCTTCGGGCACGGCGCTGGTGACCTGCGCCTCGGCGATGTCCGCGCGCGGCCCCTCAGGCCCGAACGTGATGGTGATTTTCGAGAACTGACGGAAGTCTGTACCGCTCTTGACTATGTACCTTTTGTTGATCTGGAACAAGGCAAAAAATAAATATTATTGACTGTTTAGTACAGATTTGTTGATGTTTTTCAGTGCTAGTTTTGTAACTTAATAAAGTCAAGCCTCAGTAATAAATAAATCCTTGGACATTTTACACTGCGCTTCTAGTCCCAAACTAAGCAAAGCTTGTACTATGGGTACTAGACAACGGATATAAACATACTTGAATACTTTTTTTTATAAATACATACTTATTATACATAGAAAACACCCAGTCCAATACAAACAAATATGTTCATGCCCACAAATGTTTGTACTGTGCGGGAATCGAACCCGCTACCTCCGGAATAGTAGTCCGTTTCGAACCACTACACCAAACGGCCGACAGCTCAGTAGGCCTAGGATGCAGACGCGCTAATGTGAGTGTTATCGGTACGCGCTACATTATCCATGAGTGCACACGCACACTACAATAATGACGCTCGGATTGCTCGGATCAAACTCCTCTCAACCTGCGCTTCCCTCGACCAAAAAGTGGTGGGGCGCGTCTTCGTGGATGAAACGTTTATCGCACCATTTTATCGATTTTACGCGATAAGCCAACAAAGGACAATGGGCAAATTGGTACCCGGCTCCAATAGATATGTGTCTAGTATCGTTTGAAAGGTCTTACCAAGATGAACAACTTTTACTATGACCACCAGCCTCAGATCTGGTTGTGTACGAAGATATACATACTTTTTTGCAGAATGGTACCCGGCTCCAATAGTTATGTTTGTAGTGTCATTTGAAAGGTCTTACCAAGACGAACAACATTTACTATGGCCACCAACCTCAGATCTGGTTGCGTTCAAAGATAAAGATACTTTTTGTGTAACCTAAGTATCATACAGTAAGAAGGGGGACGCGCTCGGGGCAGGGCACCGACGAGATGGTCGGACGCGGTGAGGAAGACGGTGGGCGGGAGTTTGCATCGTGCGGTCCACACAGCTTATGAACACTATCTGTGGTCGCGATCCTCATCAGTGAGGGACCGAGGAAGAAGAAGAAGTATCATGCGTGTCCATCGTATGGTACTTAGGTTATGCGAGACAGGAAGGGTTTACTGCTCCAGCATCCTTCCTTAACTCTATAATTATTGATGGGGATGATTGTGAAATAAATATTTTTATTTAAAGAAGTACAACCCCCTTATTAATAAAAAGTTACGCATAGGAAGAACCTTGGATTAAAATGACATTTCCATATTAAATGACAATTTAAGCCAGAGTTCAACTAGGGTGTAACTTTTATTAATAAAGGGGTTAAAGTTTTATTACTTCTTAAGGGTTTTATTATGGGTTGCTAAAGCGAATAAACCCACAAGACCCAATAAGTCCACCCACAAGATGGACTGACGACCTCATAAAGGTAGCGGGAAGGTGCTGGATGCAGGCCGCCACCAACCGGCCATTGTGGAAATCATTGGGGGAGGCCTATGTTCAACTGGACGTCCTATGGCTAAAATGATCATGATGATGATGATGAAAGCGAATAAAGGGCTAATAGCTTGGGTAGTTCATCGTAGGTATAATCCTTTCCTTTTCAATGCTTCTTTTAGTTATATTAATAGATTGTAGTCATAATACATACTCCTATACATGGATGATTGTGTTATACTTTCATTATAATACTTAGTGGAATTGCTGCTTTCAAAACGTGAATTAGAACTGGCCCCATAGCAGACATTTTCCTACATCTAAAGGCCTTTTAAAATATATATTGGTTATGGCTATTGGAGCGGGTACCACTTTCCATACATTTGTGCCCATCATCCTTTGTCGTCTAAATGATCGATAAGATTTTGGATAATGTATTAGTCAACACGTGTACTGAAATAATTATACAAGGTTTTCGAGATTATCTACCTTTTATGTCTTTAGTAATGAATTAAGTGATTTTCCTTGTAAGACAAAATACACGGATGAAGCCAGAGACAGAAACTTGTTTGTAATTTGTAAACAATATCTGAAAAGATGTTTAGTCGAAATAGCAGATGCTTCATGATTCTTAAATCAAGGACTGTTCTTTACAATTTATCTGTTACTATTTTTAACATTCCCTTTGGATGTTAAACATTTTACTGGCTTTTGGCCTTAAGATGAGGTTATAAGGTTAATCTTTACAGCACGAAGTCTAAGAACAAAAGCCTTACCTCAATAACTTCGTATACGTGGTCATGCCCTCCTAAAATGAGGTCAATTTCGTCGCAGCCCTCAGCCAATTTGATGTCGTTCGGAGTCCGCATGTGTGTCAGCGCTATCACGTATTCACAACCCTGTGAAAACATAGATGGATAAATAAACAAAACTGATAATATGAACACATTTTTTTGAGTTAAACGACTATTACCACAGAATAATAATAAGTACTACGTACAGAAGTTTTACTTCGCGAAGGTATTTAAAAAAAATTCGCGAAGGTATTTAAAAAAAATTATGCTCAATGTCATTAACAATATGGTGTAATTTAGCCTGTCTCAAGAGTCAAGCACCATTTTGTTGACAAACGTCAGTGATCGGCACTGCGCCGAAGCTATAGGGCTGACTTCGGTAAAATGATGTGACGTGAGGTGCCAAACTGCGGAAAATGGCGGAGGATATACCTACATGATTTAGCATGAATTATCATGAATAATATTAACTACTTATTTACCTCTCAGTGTCTTGAGGCAACTTAAAAAAGTACATTCTGTGTTTTTATTATTATTTAGGCAGTTAAATACTGCACAGTATTTAGTACACCATTTTCTTTATTTTCTTCCATCATACACAAGAATACGCGTGCGTGAGTCAATGTTCGCTCGTATGTGAGGCCTTGTCGAATAGTATCCTGTAGGTGGGCCATCGTGCGTGTTTTGTTTTCGATGTAAACTCGCGGAGATGAACAGGCCTGGTATTACTCTTAAACTAACTGATCTATCTTAATCGTTATAGTTTTCCTTAAAAGTTCATAAAAAGCACTATTATTGTGATTTTTTCCAGATTTTTCTTGCACTTTGTCGGCGTAATTAATATACATATCTCTACAAAATTACAGCTCTCTAGTGTTAATAGTTTCCAAGCAAAACCTCGGACGGACAGACAGACATGACGAAACTATGAGTTCCTTGTCAGTACTACGGAACCCTAAAAATGCTGGTTATAAATAAACAATCTGTATATTTTACATAAATCAGACCATTTTGGTGATTTCTTTATGCAGAACAAGGTATGTGTTTGACCGGAATCGCACCTGATGTTAAGTGAGATGCAGTCTAGGATGGTACATTTATCTGCTCTGTAAGTGCCTATTCACTCTCGCCTTAAAAAGGCCGAGATTGTAGTGTTCGAGAAAGACTGCAGCAGGCAGCGAATTCCAGTCCCTAGCTGATCTAGTTTCCTTGTAATTGAGTA